GAAAATCGATAAGAAAAAAAATCGTACAAAATATGTATAGGGGAACAGTTATGGGGAAGGGGAGGTATAGACGAGGACGCGCCACGAGTCACGCAAATTTGTACGTGCCAATGTAAATACAACACGTGGAATAGTTGCTAGACACGGCAGCTACACGGTTGCGGTAAACTCATCATAAAAACACACTCACAGTGGACAAAAAGTAACTAACTATGAAAATCGTCTGTAAAAAATTGTAAAAATCTCTCAAGCATTTATCTCTCTCCCTCTCTCTTTCTTTCTCTTTGCGGGATACTCGTGGCAAACATCTACACGTAATTAGGATAAATTACGAATTATAATTTTTTCTTTCCACTAAAGACACGTATTAAATTAAAAGAACAAAAAAAAAAGAAAGAAAGACAATGTCTATATGCTTGTTACCTTCACTCGTGGACTAAATATCGCCTATCATAGTCATTATATGTATGTATATATACGTCGTTTGGTATTTTTTGCTGCTTTCTTTTTTTCTGTCTTTTGCTTTTCTCTCATGTACACAATTCATCTTGATCATGATTCCCGATAATCCTAGTCGGTTTTCTTCGTCAGGATTGCACACGGTTTGGTAACAACGCTTCCGCCTACACAAGGGTTCAGTTCACATGACCGCGCTGTGAGTGTAAGCTTGGGTACAACGAATATTCTTTTCTCTTAACAAATAATTCATCAGTATCTTTTCTTGCACGTCGAGAGACGACATCCTTCCGTGATCACGATATGTCTTCCCACGGCGTTTTCTTTTTTTGTTATTTTTTTCTTTTCTTTTCTTTAATATATCTTAAATTAGTTTTTTTTCTTTTTTACGCCTGCTAGGCCGCTTTAAAATTGGTCCACCAGCAGGTCACAGATCTCTACTGACATCGATTCCTTACTCGAGCGTACCGTCAAACGGAACATCTATGGAATTATGCATAATAAATGAACAATTTATTAAATTTCTGATTTAAATATATAAATATTATAAGCGGACAGCTTGAGATTAACAATATTTTAAACTATTCCACTTTTCATCTGAGGAAGAGAGCTAACCTAATAGAGCATATTTGATGTTACAATACTTGAAAAATTACCTGGGCTTGTTTATTAGGTTCCAAACGTAACAAACATCCTACTTGTTGTGCCCTCATATGAACTATACCCGCGCAGACAAAATTATCAGGATTCGGATCGATACCATCGAGCAACTGCATTCCAAATCCTTGCAATTTCGTACGAACTTGCGCAAAATCCATCGGTTGTTGTGCTTTAAAAATCTTCTGTGAACGTTGTTGATTCGCTCTACAAATGTACATACACATATACAATATTATACAATATCGTTCGATGTGCTATTAAGCTGAACTCCTTTTATTCGAATAACCCGTATATGTATCAGGCAACTTCTAAAATTATCCGATTACATACGGCTGAACTGCTTTACATTTAATAGGTTGTAGGTAAAGTGTAATATCCTCTTATAAAAAATAACGAAAGGAAAAAGAAAAAAAATATTTTATATAAAATTTTACACACCCTCCAAGATTTTTCCATCGTGCAAAGAACGATTCTCCGTTCATCTCCGTGGGCTCGAAGAATTTGTTGATCGTTAACGGTAACTTCATCGTGATCTTTTGTGGCGCGTTATTATAGATAAACGAAATAATCATGCTTGGTGCATCTGCGTGCAGAAAAAAAGGAAATTGAAAACGACAGACTTAATAATTTTAAATTGAAGAGCATTCAATTTAATGGCCAGTTTGTTCAATCAGTTTCTTAGAATAGATTATGTAACTCGTCGTACCGTTATAGTCGTCGATGCATTCAGCGTTAATCATCTGTTGGATTTGAGCACCTGCTTCTAGCACTGGATCGACTGGTTTCACTTGTACGGCTAACTTTTGTTGATTTTCCTCCGACCAGGAGAGTTGAGGTTGAAAGCTATAGAGACCATATTGAGTTTTGTTTCCGTAAAAAAGACCAACACGTCCCAAATTTTGTCTGAATTCCGATTTTACACCAATCTGTATCAAATCATTCTCGAACAGTACACCGTTATTCTTGCAAACGAACCTAACAATATATATTTAGATATTAAGTTATTATTTTGAATTTTTAAGAATTTTCTTTTTTTATGTTTTTGAGGAGAACACGTACTTCTTGGGATTATACGTATTTTGGGCACCATTAGTAGCTACTTTGTTTGGCATATTATAAATATCTCCTAATACGTCGAGTAGAACTCCTGTATTGCTAGTTGGCTGAGAAGATGGTGGTGTAGAAAGACCTAATAAATCTGCAGATGTGTTATTGACAGTTCCTGTTACAGGGGCAGGTGTATCCGCATGATGGTTGGTATTTGGTGCAGGACTTTTACTTTCTCTGATTTCATTCTCAGGCAGTCGACCTGGTTTCTTCTTCTTTAGAACTGCCAGAATGGAAGATTCTCTTTCTGGGAATGCTGGCATTTCTTCCAAGACTGTAGCCTGTAGAGAAAAATATAATAATATTAAACAAATGGAATTTTTTGTTACATTTTTTGTTGTTTTCAGTATTTACCAAAACATCACTAGACGCAATAATGCTTAGTTGGAGATACTCTGAAGCTCTCTGTTGTAACTCTGCATCCGCGCTGCGTAAATTACTATGCTGTCTGAAGACATCTTGAATTTGGTTTCTCATTTCAGGGAATAGATTAACAAATTTGATGTACGTCGAGAGTAACAGTGCTCGTGTCATTGGGGAACATAAGTGATACTGAAGATCAAATAAAAACACATTAATATGTTATACATATATACATTACAAAAAATAGAAATGTATGAAACTTACTTTGGAATGTAATAATTGAAACTGAACAGCTGGAGAAGAACGCTGATCGCCAGCAATGAGGTTTCCAAATTCTCCAAGAATGTAACCACCGACTTTAACCATATTTTCGTGGCAAGCAGGTGCTTGTAAGGCCTAATAAATATTTCAAACGTTTAATCCGAATGTTTACCGCCCATAGAAGTACATCATCTCTGTTAATAACAATTTGGATAACGCGGTACCACACTTCTTCCGAAACGTAGTCGCCAGCTATCCTGATAAGATTCAGAATGACGTCAACGTACCAAGTGTAATCGGTGGCATATTTCTCCGCTAGAATGGCAACCTTAAGAACCATCTCTTCTCTGATAGAGTAGTCAGCAGTTTCGAGGTAGTTTAACATTTCTTGTACTATTTCTTCCGCGTTACTTTTATCGCACATGGCATATAAAAGATCCACAGCCTGTTGTCTGACAGACACATCCTTTTCCATTTTCATAGAAAGAATCACGACTTCTTGATGTTTTTTCACAGCTTCGTGTGAAAGTTCCGACGTAGCCAGGTGACACATGGATTCGAGCGCTAAATAACGAAGATTGGTCTCGCGATTCGATAGAAACTGACCAAGTTGATTGCACGCTCTGACTGATAAAGATACTTCACTGTCGTTGTGAATAATTAAACTAATGGCTTCGAATAGCACAGCGTTCTTTGCATTGGAGTGTTGCACCTTTTTGGATTTTGGCGGTTCTTGAGCTTTGTTTAATACAGTCTCTAGGCATTCGTTTAATCTACCCCTCACTCCTGGATCTTCAGCTGTTGAAAAAATGATAAAGTTACAATATTTTGGTATAAACTTGTTTAAAAATTTTAAGCAACATAACTTACCAGGTGGGGTATAATTCTGTAGTAACCGTAGCAGCTTAACAGAGAGCCATGGTGCTGGCACAAAGTAATATGTATAATCCTGTAGGTCTGTGTAACTCGATGTTACAATCTGGTGAAATAGAACGAAAATCAAAGAACTATCTATGAACCATAGGTTAGACTAATGAATTATACCATACCCTGCTTAATCTCGAAACTGCCAAGCTGACACATCCTTTGTATTCGTCCGGATTTCTCTTTACAAGAGCATCTATGAGAGATGCAGCTGCTGTAACTACACCAAGATGCTGATCATTTAGAAGGTGAACTATACGTGAAGTCCATTCTCCACCAGGTACAACATCCGGTGCAGTACGTAATAACCGTAACAAACACAGCGCTGCACTTTGTTTTACTACATCCATAGTATCTCTAGAATTGAAAATTTAAATTACAATGATTTTAAATGTAATTACTTAACAATCAATGAGATATTTGTTATATATACATACCCAGAGACAAGTAGTTTTGGTATTTCATTACCAAAAGCCTCTGCCATTTCTTTACTACCAATGTTAGCAATACATTGTAGTGCAAGATTTACATGAATTGGATTACGCGATGCAAGATCATTTTTTATACTTTGAATTATCAGTTTAATGAGATCACTATTTGTATTTACTAAGACTGATATGAAAAGGTAACCCTAAAATGCATAACATAATTAGATACTTCAATTTTTGGAATACAAATATTTTAATATCAATGGTTACACTAAATTATACCACTTACAATTTGTTTTTCTGAATACTTGTTGGATGAAAGTAAATTAACAGCCTCCATATGTCCAAAGTCAATGTCATGACCAAGCAGAAAAATAAAAAGGAGCTTGCAAACATATTTCTTCTTTTGGTAACCATCAAGTGTTTTGTCTCCTTTAAATTTACTGCGAATATTTGCCAATTCTTTGTTTATTCTCTTAATTTCTGCTTCTTTGCTTTTACCTAACAAAATGAAAAAAAAAGAGTAAAATAAATTAAAAATTAATTTATCTATAAATCACTTTTGTAAATACAAAATAAAATATAAAAAGTATATGTATATTGTGTACAACTATACATTTGTCATAGTTTTTATAGAAAACTATAATGGC